TGGCTTAGGTCTCTGGCATGGGTCCGCAAAGGCAAAGGGCCCTTGGTCATGCCAACCCATGCAGCCCCAAGCTCTTGGTCAGTGTTTGCCCTTTGCATTCCCCCAGTCATGGGGACTTCTCAGCAGCCAGGGACCATCTGTGACAGTGGCACAGACCCTGCCACCTGAGGTCCCAGTGTCAGGGTACCTGTACTGTGCCCAGCAGGATGTGGTGAGATGTGGGGGAGATGCGGGGTGCATGGTCCTGCAGGGGTGCTCTGTGCTGTGGACCCTGCTGCCCACCCCGTTGCAGGGGATAATGCCCTCTCCTTCCCTTCTGCCTCCTCCAGATGCACAGTCCCATCCCAGGCCTGGGCAGGGTGATGGTGTTCCTCGCAGCAGCCTTGGTGTCAGCCTCCCTTGCCATCCCCGAAGACTGGGGAGAGGAAGGTGAGCGCCCCGCAAGCCCCCCGCGCAGCACCCCTTATGTCCCAGCCACGGGGTGCCTCCAGTCAGGGCATATACAAAACACAGCCCCATGGTGATGGTGCCCTCTGGGCAGCGTCCTGCTGCAGCTGCTCATTGCCCAACTGGGACCAGTGCTTCCCTGTCCCATGTGGTGGTACCTACATGAAGCAAGACCCCAGAGCCAGCACCCAGCAACCCAGGGGGGTATCCCAGGCTGCTCGACACCCAGCCCTGCCATGGGTTGGTGCTAACACCCATCTGGGGATCTGTGTGTCCCTTTAGGTGTGCAGTACGGACAAGTGGGGACAGACGTGACCCTGTTGTGTGCCGGTGCCCATGCTGGGTAGGTCTTTTCCATGCACACTGGAGGATGTGTCCAATGGTCTTTTCCATGTGTCCATGGCATGGCTTACACGGTGAGCCTGGGGTGACCTGCTGTCCGTGTCCTACAACACCCCCTGCCCGATCTCTCCTCCCCAGCTCTGCGGTGCAGTGGAGACGGGCAGACACCGCGGCACTGCCGGAGGGCTCAGCCATCCATCAGGGAGCCCTGGTGCTGGCACATGCCAGCCTGGCCACCATGGGAACCTACAGCTGCCATGGCGAGGACGGTGGCCTCCTGCATGCTGTGTCCCTGCGGATGGGGCGTGAGTAGTGTGTCCATGGGCTGAGCTATGCAGGGTGTGGAGCCCCACCAGGATGGGTCTGTAAGAGGGTTGCCAAGAGGGGACTTTGCAGTGACCAGTTGCTGACCGTCGCTTCCCCCCACACCCCAGACCTGCCGGGGGTCCCCTTTGTGTCCTGCAGAGCATCCAACTATGAGAATTTCTCCTGCTCCTGGACCTCCAGTGTGGAGACCTTCCTCCCCACCAGATACATCACCACCTACAGGTGACACATCCCTGCAGGGCATGGGCTGGGGGGGTTACAGGGTGAACCCTGGGTCTTGTCCAAGGATAACCACCAAATTGTGGTGGCCATCTGACCCATGGGTTTATCTCCTGCACCCTGGAGCAGGAGATGTATATGCTTTGGGGTGAGCAGAGCACCAAGCACTTGCTTGCTCCCTGGTGGGCCCCAGCAATGTTGGGAGGCCAGCACGAGCAGGTTCCTTTCCTGCTAACCAGAAGGGATATAAAAGAGAAGCAGGTCATCTGCAAGCCACCAAGTGCTTCCGCATGCTTCAGGATGAAAGGAGCTCTGACAGCATCACTGCTTCTAATTATCCCAGCAGGCCAAATTAGCAGGCTGCTTTGAAGTCAGGCGGAGCTCATAAAGCACAGCCCTGCTGAAAGCTGCCGGGGGTGCTTAGGAGGGGGCCATGAAGCATCAGGGGTTTAGCACAGAGGGGTGGTGGGAAGCAAAGGGCCTTGGGGCTGTAGGGGAGGGCAAAGCCAGCTACTGGGGAGCTGCTTTTATCAGTGTCCCTGTACCATTGCTGGGACCCCCAGCTCCAAGCCAGGCTGCTCACCAGCAGGGCTGGGCATGGTTTTAGTTCTGTGCCCCTTACCATGTCACCCATTTGGCAACTGGGGCAATGGGGGTGCAGACACCTTTCATGCTGTCCCCTCATCCTCACTGTCTGCTTTTCCATCTTTCTCCATGACAGGAAGAAATCGCTGACAGGTGAAGAGAAGCGGAGGTAGGACTGAATCCCACTCTGGTCCTATTCCCTGGGGACTCATCCCCATCCCAAAGGCTCTGCCACTGCCCTCAGCAGGGTCCCCAGAGTGAGGGTTACCCATATCCATAGGGAGAAGAGTTTGCCCCATGGGGGAACCTTCCCAGGAGGGACTTTGGGCTGGGATGGAGACATTCATTCATGCTCAGAGGGACATAGCAGAGCTCTGAAGGGTCGAGGGCAGCTCAGCTGTAACAGGGGCTGCCTCCTCCACCAGGCTTTAAGCATGGGGGTGTCCCCACATGTCACCAGGAAACTATCTGTGTATGGCAGGCGGGAGGGAGAGAGACTGGCCCCCCCCCTGCCCCCCCACTACAGGAATAAGAACGGGCACATGGGGCCGTGCCTGCAGGATCCATCCCGCCCCGGCACCTGCACTGTCCATGGGTCCGAGTTCTGGAGCTCCTACCGCCTGAACATCACCGAGGTGAACCCCCTGGGCTCCAGCTTCCGCCTCCTCGACGTCACCATGCAGGCCATCAGTGAGTCCACATCCACCCATCTGTCCATCCCAGTGTCCATCCATCCCCTGGGCAACCAGCCCTGGGTGGCAGCATGGCAGCACAGTGTGATGAGGGCTCCCTTGTCCTCTCCTATGCAGTTAAGCCAGACCCTCCAGAGGGCTTGGTGGTGGAGCCCATCCCCTTGGCCCCACGGCGGCTCCTCGTGAGCTGGAAGTACCCCTCTTCCTGGCCCAAGGAACCCCACTTCCAGCTCCGATTCCGGCTCCAGTACCGGCCTGTCATCCACCGCTCCTGGTCTGTGGTAAGCGGTGGGTGAGGAAAGGCAAACCTGTGGGCACAGGGCAAGGGAGGGCAGTGAGGGGTGCCCCTGCCTACCCCACAGCTACTCTTTGTCACATGCAGGTGGAGACGGTGAACCTATCCGAGGTGATCACAGATGCCTTCGCCGGGCTGGAGCACGTGGTCCAAGTCAGCGCCAAGGATTTCCTGGATGCAGGGAATTGGAGCGAATGGAGTGCCGAGGCCAGGGCAACGCCAGCCAGAGGTGCAAGGGGGACAGGCTGCAGCCCTATGGGATTTTTCCATCCCTCCCTAGAGCCTTTCCAGCACCTTGAGCTGCACCTCCCTGGCCCCTTCCCCGTGGCACTAATTCCTCCAGATATCACCCTGGGGTCCCTTAAAGTTGACCCAAGAAGCTGGTCCCATGAACTGCCCAAAAACTGACCCCAATTGGAAGGCTTTTGAAAGGGGACAAAGCATATCCCAGCCCCAAGGCAGGCTGCTGCTGTTTGGGGATTGCCCCCCACAGCCTTGGGGCAGAGAAGGGTTCCCAGAGCACTTCTAGCACCCCTTGGGACACAAGGGCACCCTTCTTTGCTTCTCTCTGTGGGTCCCTGGGATGCTGCCTGTGCTGTTTGGTGTTTCTCACCTCAATTGTCCTTTCAGAGCTGGTCACCACAGCGAGTGAAGAAACCACTACAGATGCCAGCCTGGAGAGCCTGGCTGAGGAGCCCTCCCAGGCTCCTAACCCTGAGCCCATCAGTGAGTAGAGCTGGGGGTTGTGGGCAGGGGAGCCAGGCTGGGCTCACGTGTGGCTGAATGTAATGGGAAGGGTCTTCTGCCCCGTGCCTGTGTGTGTTTGGGGTGCTGGAGCGTGCAGGAGCTTGCAATAGGCTCCCCTGGATGCCAGGGGCTGTGGCATCCCTACGCCATGACAGTGTCTCTGTCCCAGATCGCAGCGAGCCCCTGGAGAAGACGGCTGTCCTGGTGTCCCTCGGGATCTTCGCCTTCTTTGTCCTGGCTGCTGTCCTCATCGTCACCATCCTCATCTGGTAGGTTGGATTGTGAGAGGGAAGGGACTGCGTGATTGCGGTCCCCATCCCACTCTGCCCCTTGAAGGTAGTTTGTGCTCCCCTGCTCCATCAATGCACTTTCCCAGCACACCCCACCACCTGCAGAACTGCACAGTCTGCCTGGGGTCTTTCTGATGAGCCCACATCTGTGGGACCTGTCTCTGTGTATCCAAAGATGCTGCTGCTAATATCCCCCCATGCTGCACTGATGGGGACTCTCATGCTCCAGAGTCAGTGCAGAGACCCCTCCATACACCTTTGCCATCTGCAAGTCATGTCCCCGGGTCCCCTCATCCTGCACAGCTGGGCTCTCCCTGCCATGTTGTGTCTGTGCTGTTGGTTCCTGTTCCCATCCCAGCCCTGCTCTATCAGCTCCTGTACCCCTGGAGCTGACACACTGGAGTGGGTGAGCACAGCTGGACACAGCTGAATGAGGATGTAGAGTGGAACCCCTGGGGTTGCTGTCAGTGCTGGTGTTGAGGGGGGTGTTCCTTGGGGTCCTCAGCCACCACTGCTCTGTCCCCAGGCTCCGGGTGAGGAAGCACGGCAAGGACAAGACCAAACCCCACAGCTTCTTGGTTGCTGCCACCCACTTGAAGGCACTGCCGAGTGAGTTGGGGTGCAAGGGGTGTGATCGGGGGAGTGCAGGGGAGGGAGTGTGGAAATGTCCTTCCCCAACCCCCTGCCCTCTTTCTTGGCAGAGGCACAGATCCTGTAGTGATCCCTGGCCGATCCCCGCTCCCTGCACCCGCTGTCCCATGCGTGGAACTTGACGCCATTGCTGGTCCTCAAGGACCCCACGCTTCCCGGGTCACCCCACAGCCATGGACATTGCCAGAGCAGCCCCCAGTGCCGTGGGGATGCAGGATGGATCCTAAGGAGAGAGGCTGTGCTCCCAGAAGCTTTGGGCTGCCCATGCCCACCCGGAGCTGTCTGGAGGCACCTTGGACTCAAGGCAACGGGGCCAGCCCTGCTGCTGAATATATGGGGATAAGAGGCTGAGCCAGCCGTACCTCACTGCCTAGTGTTGAGGGGGACTGTGTGTGCAGGCTCCTGGAGGTGCCAGGCATCAGTGAGTAGGGGGTGCTGAGCCCTGCCCATCACCGCTCACCAGCCTGCAGAAGGGACCCCCCCCATCTATCTGCCCCTCTCCCGCATGCTGTGCCTGGAGAGCACAGTGGTTCCAATAAAGGGGATAGTGTTGGCACTGTCCTGGCAAAACCAACCTCACAGATGGTGCTGTGTCAGAGGAGAAGTGAGTGGCGTGAGGTGAGATTCCAGCTTGGAGGTAGATGGGCGCGCTGTAGGTCAGTCTTAGCCCCTCCAAGCACCACTTGCTGAGTGCTGTAAGAGGATGCAGCAGATCTTCCTTGTCCTCACCAGCCTGGCAGCAGGGACAGGACCCTCTGCACAGCCCCTCTAACTCAGCATGTGGCCCCCTCCCCACGCTTTGACCCAGCCCCTCTGATTGCTTCCATGTGTTGGCACCTCCCAATCCCCGTATTCAGCGCCAGCGGACCAACAAGATCCAGATGGGGAGGGTGGAAATACAGGCAGCAGCAGAGCAGGGAGCATGAGGAGCAGAGCCAGCTCAGGGTGGGTCCTTGCTCCTGCCCTGCTGGGGAGATGCCTCATTTCCAGCAGGGGCCCCGGGCTCCCCTTGAACCCTCTGGAGGGGGGGACACCTTCTGAAAGGGTCCTTGTAGGGACTGGGATGGAGGGGACCAGGGCAGGGCTGTGGCTTTTGGCAATGACTTGTGTGCCCACAGACCTCTTTGCCCTTGCTGGGTGTCCCTGCACTCCCACCCCGGCTGCAGGGGCATGGGGGCTGCCCATGCCATTGCTTGGCTTTGCAAGATCCCAGCCCCTCATTGCCCCTCACCCTTGCTCATCCTGGATGGAGGAGATGGGGGTCAGCCCTCCATCTACAGTGTGCTACTGGGGTGGCATCATCCTTGGATAGGAGCCGGGCTCTCCACGGAGCAAGTGAGGCAGGTCACAAAGCTGGGACACATAAGGGGATAGAACTTTCTGGCCCAACAGCCACATCCCTTCTCTCAGAGACAACCCAGAACTTGCCAGCTCCAGATGCTCTGCTCCCCAGCATCCAACCTAGCCACCACCCTTTCTGATGTGCCATGGTCACCCTTGTCTCACCTGAGTCCCCAGCATATCACACGCAGCTCTTTCCACTTGGAAACCTGCTATTATCACCAGCAGATCTCGCTCCCCTGCTGCTACAGAGGAGCTCAGGGCTGTGTTTGTCCATAGGATGTTGTTGAACACAGGTGATGTCCATCTCATAGCTGTGGCTTCAGTATTAGCACACTGAACTCTGGTTTCCCAGCACCTGGTGCTGGTTTAGAGGCTGATGGCTGCTTGAGACACACAACAATGGCTCTGGCCCCTGTATCCTGCCTTATAAACTCTAGAAAGCCCAGGCGTGCTCCAAACAGAAGGCTGTTGCCACTGGCTGGGGGAAGCAGAGACCACCAGAGCCCCACATGTCCATGAAGGAACATGTCCCTGCATTGTGCAAGCTCAGGTGGGCAGAGGTGATTTGCAGGCAGAGGTGACCCACAGCAGTCCTGTCCCCATGTGCCAAGACCTGTGTGCCCTTTCGTAACTGCGACTTGACAGGTCAGGTAGTGAGAACACCCAGTTCCAGTAGCCAGGGCAGCTTGAGGGCAGAAGATGCTCATCTGGTCCTCATCACTGCATCCCACTTCCCTTGGCGCTGAACGGTGATCCCTTTCCTCTCTGATGGAAGCTTTAGAGATGAGACATGCTGCCATCTGGCAGCAGGAGATACCATGAGCAGATGAGAGGTCTGCATGCCACCACAAAGTCTGGTGGGATGCCCCATGGCTCACCTACTGCCCCAGCAGCCTGTAAATGTGACACACGGGCATCAGGGACCCCAAGGAAGCAGCAAGTTCAGTAGGGCTAAAGATGCTTAGTGCTGGATGCTGCACTCCCAGCTGCCCAGGGGGAGGATGGACATGGGCTAACAGGGCTTTCCACTAGGTGCAAGGGGAGGCCGGGCATGAACAGCAATCTGGGATAAAGGAGAGGGCTCCAGATGCCAAAGTCAACTTCGCCTTCAAACTGTGGAGAAGAAAAACAGGAAGGGACCATGAGAGCAGTTGCAGCGCCAGCACCTCCCTGTCCCACCATGGGGCCAGGGCACTTCCTCTGAGGCTCAGGCTCTTTGGAGGCTCATACAGTGAGCAGGAGGCTTCCTGCTGCAGGCTGGAGCCCTGCCCCAAGTAGGCAGAGGCAATTCCAAGCTTGCTGCTGTATCCCACCCTCCCCAGGCAGATGTTGTGCCAATATCACTTGGGGAGCTGGTACAAGTCAGGCCTGGAGATGCTGAGGCTGTGCCAGGTCAAAGCAGCCTTTGGGCTGCATCCACGAGGAACAGGGATGGGTTCAGCTTCCTGGCGTGGGGCAGGGATCAGCCAAAGCCCAGCAGGAGAACATGGCCTGAGTCCTGCTGAGGGTAAAACACTTGCAGCAGGCAATGAGACAAGTCAGGGAAGGTCCTCAGCACCAGGGTGTGGAAAGGTCCATGTCCATCCATCCAGCACAGGGTGACCCCAGTCCAGAGCATCTCTCAGACAGGGGCTGAGGTGCACAAGCCACCCAGCTGAGTGCAGGGCTTGTTTGGGAAAGCAATAGCCTTGGCAAGAGCCTTTGCAGCAGGGCACTGGATGTAGATGGATTTGCAGTGGTTCCTGGGCTGCTTGACTGCACCAGCCCTGACAAATCTGAGCTGTCCCTCATGCCTAGCTCCTCCTGTCCCTGCCTTGCTGCCAGGATCAACCCACATCTTGCAGCAGAGGAGGCGAGTTGCACAGGACTGCGAAGCAAAACAGTCTCAATTTACCTCTCATGGCTGCTCCAGCTTCCTTCTCCACCTTTCCTGAGCCAAGGAAAGAATTAAAAGCAGCTCCAGCAGATCATGGAAACCAGAGGGACATGCGACATATATATCACAAGGCAAGGGAGAAAGGAAAAGGTATGCATACAGTCAGTGGTTCAGCCGAAAAAAAAAGGAAAGAGCTGTGTAGATTTATAGGTGGATGCATGGATCACATGGAGAAGGGAAGGATGGATACATGGATGGATGCATGGATGTATGGATGGATAGGTAGTTTGGACACCCAGATACCATCCTAAGCACCAAAGATGCTCATGCAGGGGTGACTTGTGAAGACAGCTGGGAGGCCAAGTGCATAAGGGAAGCCCAGAGGGAGAACAAGGATGGTGTTTGGGAAACAAGTCCCAGATATGACCCATATACCTAGTCCCCATGGAAGTGCCATCATAGCTGACATGAGGAGACAGAGCTCAGATTGTTACCAGTGCAGGTCCAGAGAGTGCCAGGGAAAGCCTCCCATCTCCAGAGGGACAGCATCCACCTCAGGAGCCGCTTCCATCTCAAGCTGTCCAGGCACTGGGAGTGGAGGAGCAGCAGAGATGTACCCTGGGGACACAGTGAATCCAAACACAAATGCTTTCAAAATGCTAAGTGCTAAGCATTCACCCAGTCCATAGCTTTCATCTTGCCTGCACATGGGATAACTGCATGGGCTCTTGCTAGAAGGTCCAAGCACGCAGCCTGGTGGAGACCCCTGAGATCACTCATGCTCCCTCTTCATCTGCCTTCCTTTCTAGTTGCCACAGACCTGCAAACTTACCCATCATCCACTCGTTCCTGAAAGAGAGAAGGGGAGTCATCACTTGCCAGGCCAGATATGCTGGCTCTCAAATAGATGTGGAGAGGGGAGGGACTGAGACATCTCTTACTGCTGCTCCATTGCAGGCTTCTCCCTGCAGGAATGGATTCTTTCTTTCTTTGCTTGCTGGGGCTGGCCTTTTCCCTGCCTCGAGGATGTTTTTGGTCTTTCACAGCCAGGAAGCATCAAGCATCTGACCACAGAGATGCTGGGAGGCTAAAGCCAGCAGCTTAGCTATTCCCAAGCACTGCTGCTCATGATGCTCTCAGGAAACGGCTGCTCTCTTCTTAAAGCAGCAGCAGCAGCACTTTGGGTGAGCTCACCAAGCCCAGGACTTGCCTGATAGATTTTATTGCACTGAGAACAGCCCTGTTGTCCAAGCACAAGTTCCCAGTGTTTCATGTTCCATGAAGCATGATGGCACTGGGGACACATGCAGTCATACTTCTTTTTGCAGCAGTGCCCACTGCATTCCCCATGCACACGTACCATAATCATAGAATCACAGAGTGGTTTGGGTTGGAAGGGACCTTAAAACTCACCCAGTTCCAACCCCCTGCCACAGGCAGGGGGAGCTTCCACTAGAGCAGGTTGCTGCAAGCTGCTGTGTCCAACCTGGCCTTGAACACTGCCAGGGATGGGGCAGCCACAGCTTCTTTGGGCACCCTGTGCCAGCGCCTCAGCACCCTCACAGGGAAGAGCTTCTTCCTTCTATGCTATGAAGTGTGATGCTGCCATGTCATTTGCACAGAGGACGTAATCTCTTCCTCACAGCAGGAACTCCATCTTCTCCTCCAGCTGCATCCAGAGCTGTGGGGACTGAAACAAGAGCAGGACACACTTCAGAAGCTTCCCTCAGGAGAGACAGACCAGAGTTAAATGTGACTCTGGGAGGTTACAACACACAGGCCCTTTCCATTAAACAAGCAACTCCCAGCCTTTGCACCACACTGGGACATCCACCAGATGTGGCAGTGGCTGAGCTCCACATAGTGCTGGGCACTGCATAGTCATCTCTGAGCTGATGGGTATGGAAGTGGTAAGGTGCTAAAAGTGCCAGGTCTGTGTCTACACATGGGATCTCCTGGAGAATGCTCAGGAGGATCTGCTGACCTGGAAGGCACTGATCCCCAGGTGATGCTAATCTGGAAGGCACCAATATATTGGAAGATGCTCAGTTGGAAAGCACTGATGCCAGGGAGGATGCTGACCTGAAAAAACACTGATTGCCTCAGGCATGCTGGGGATGCCAACCTGGAAAGCACTGGTCCCCAAGAGGATGCTGATCTAGAAGGCACTAATCCCCAGGGGGATGCCAACCTGGAAGGCATCATTTATCCAGGACATGGTGCTTTCTCCTCTATTCCAGAGCACGTTTTTCATGTTATGTTGGGCACCAGCTCAGCCAGGGTCCACTCCAAGGGCTTGGGCTGTGGATCCACACTTAGCGAGGCATCCATGGCTGGCTGCAAAAAGCATGGTGAGATACCTGCAGGAAGCTGAGCCAGTGTCAGCTCTCGCAAATTCCCTCCTTCCCAGAGCTCTCTGCTGGGTTTGGGAGCTGCTGACCAGCTATGGGCAAGGGGGAGCATGATCCCCAACTCCTGCCTAAACAACCCCAAGCCCCATCCTTCTGCAAGCAAGAGGGATGCCCAGACCCTACTTTCCCACTAGATGGCAAACACTGCCTTCAAAACAGCCTTTGGAGGAAGGATGCGTTCCTGGGGATGAGATAACCATTCCTCAGGGTAGAGCCTGAAAGGGCCTGAAGCTGCTCGGGAGTGGGGCAAGGACCCCTGGCATGCTCCTCAGTTCGGTTTTTTCCATCATTTCTTAACATGTTTCCTTTCCCACCCATCTGGCTTCTCCCTGGTTCTGGAAAACCCATGGCTTGCCCTGTACTGGTGGAGCTGAGTGCTCCGGGCATGCAGGCAAGACATTTAGTTAACCCTGCGTAGTATCTTGAACTCCTACAACCACAAAGTGAAACCCAGAAGCTTTGCTGGGAGTTAATCACGCTGTGGTTTGCAAGCCAAATATGTTCTTATTCCTCCATGCAAGCCCCCAGGTCTGTGGGCAAGCTGGGAATAAACAAAAGAGGCAGGGATGAAGGTGGTGCAGGTGGATGTACACATTCACCTAAGATCTTCTGCCAGCTCAGATGTGTTTCCAGGCTTGTGCATGTTTGTTTGAATTCAGCCCCAGGTTTTCCCATTGTCTCTGTATTAACCTTGTGCAGTTTTCTGCACGCTTGCTGCTGGCTGCGCTATTGCAGTGTGGTTAAACATGATGTGTCACAGCTAATGAAGGAGCTGACTGTGGATGGTAAATGTTTGATGTGGATAAATCAAGCCAGTTGGGCAATATCAAGAGAGAAGCATGTCACCTCAGCTCTGTCCCGTATGGGAGAGAGTCTGTGGAAGGATCAACCTCTCCTAGCATGAGATAAGGATAAAGATCCTGAATGCAGATCCCCCTTTAGATCCTCCAGGTCAATGTGTAGGTACCTTCACCTGGGGAAATAAAACAGCCCTTAAGAGGATGATTTTGTTTCTGAAACAAAGACCTTTGAGTGTCTAGGGGTGATGGCAGCCACCTCCTGTGCAGAGACACTGAACAAGAAGTGAATCATGCTGCTCAAAGCACTCTTGGAGTACCTCAGCAGGACTCTTGGTCATTCAGCAGCATCCTGCCTGCTTCTGTGGCAAACCTGGAACTGCAGGTCTCAGCTGTGCCTTCACAGGAGCCCCAGGGAACCCCAAGGCTGTGTTCCCAATGGCAGCCCACCCCAAGCATTAACCAGCTGATGGCAGCAGCTCTATTTCCTCCACAAAGCACTATGGAACCCTTCTGGCAGCATCCTCTGCCCTTGCTGCCTCCAACGTTTCCTGTCTGGGGACATCATTTGGTGTCATTTACACTTGGGTGAAAAGGGTCCTTCAGGCGTCCTGGCCAACTTCCTTCAGGAAGCAATTGTTGCCTCTTCCTCTGTGAAGGCTGGGAAGTCCTTCTCAGGGATATTTATAGTCAGAGAAAGACGTGGAAAATGAAAGAAAAAGGGTGACTGGGGAATAGAAACTGAGGGAGCTGTCAGGAGCCCGTCTGTAGCGTGTGGCTCAGTGCAGCAAGCCACTGACCCACCATGGCAATCACTGAACCACCAGCAGAGCAGGTAGAAAGCCCTCTGGCCCTTTCCAGCACAGCCATGCTCCCTGCCAGTCCTGGTGTTGGCATGTGCTGATGCCTTGGGGTGTGGGATCAGGAGCAGTGACAGTATGATGGTGTGGGGTTTAGTGCATCTCTGTGGCCTGAGGCTTCCCCACCCCTTTGGCAAACTCACAGACTACTACAGCAGCAAAGCAGCTCTTCAGCACAGATGTGGCTGCATCACTCTGGAAGGTAGGATTTTCAGCTCCAGGAGGGCTTGACCCTCGCTCCTGACCCAAGGACACCAAGTGATGGACATGGATGTCACATCTTTTCCTTGATGCATGACTGATTCCAGCTTTGTAGTCCAGGTCCTGGGAGCAGTTCTGGCCCTTTCCTGTAGGGTCAAGGTTCTGGGGGTTTAATCCTGCATGGCAATGAGGATTTAATCCACCAAGCCAATGCTTCCTGCCTCTGCATGGCATCTCTAAGCAGTTACATGCTTTAGACACAGGCAGAGCTGCACCAGAGCTAACCTGGGTAAAGACCTGCACCTCTCCCCTGTGGCCTTTCACAGGGGTTTGGCCATGAGCATGGTGTGGGACAGTGGAAACAGAGGCAAAGAGGCTTTGCCCTGCTTTTGGTAGCAGGGGCAAAGGGTCCCCCAGCACAGCCCCTTTGGAGGGCTGGAGACCTGTGCATCGCCTTCATGCCAGTTCAGATCCCCAGCAAGTGGTGGATGACAGGCATTAGTAAGCAAGGTAGCTGAAGGGGCTGGGGAGCTGCTTTTGCTGTGTGCAGAGCTGAGGGATGAGCCTCTCCAGACCCAGCTGACCTTACTCACCAGAGGGACAAAGGCAATAACCCACTATAATACTGAGAGCCTCAGCAGAAGCATCCTGCAGAAACAAACACCCAGGACTGCACAGAGAGGAGCAGGGACCCTGCAGATAGATCTGTGCTAGGTGGGCTTGTTCAGCCTGGAGAAGAGAATGCTCGGGGAGACCTTGGATCACCTTCCAGTCCTTAAAGGGGATGACAGTAAATCTGGAGAGGGACATTTTACAAGGGCAGGTAGTGACAGGACAAGGAGGAATGGCTTTAAACTGACAGAGGGAAGATTTAGATTAGAGATGAGGGTGCTGAGGTGCTGGCACAGGCTGCCCAGAGAAGCTGTGGCTGCCCCATCCTTGACAGTGTTCAAGGCCAGGTTGGATGGGGCTTGGAGCAACCTGGTCTAGTGAAAGGTGTCTCTGCCCACAGCAGGGGGTTGGAACTGGGTGAGTTTTAAGGTCCCTTCCAACCCAAACCAGTCTGGGATTCTATGGTTCCATGAAATCAGATCTGCTGGGGCTGCTTTCAGGCCCTGGGCCAAGAGGCATTCAGCCTCTACCTTACTAAACTCTCTTCACCCTCCTTGGCTGCACCCAAACTGCCTGTTGAGAATGATGCCCACCCTGGGGGTCAATTTCCCAGGGTAGTTAACCAGCCCAAAATCTGCCAAGAGCAATGCTGAGGGTGTTCCAGCACAAAAGGACATTTGCTTCAGTTGCTGTGACCCACACAGCCCTGCTGTCCTGGAGTGGGCACCACTATGTCTTCACGGGGCACTAGGACAGTCAAGAAGTTCAGACCCCTACCTGTAGCATGATTGAAGATAACTGCTGAGTTAAGGCACACACTGGGAGAATACATTGAAGGAAACACCATTGCCAGGATGGCAGCCTGCTGAAGCCAGACAGGAGGGGATCCCAGCAGACACCTAAGCTTCAGACTGGAGGAAAGACGAAGGAATCAGAGGTTTTGATGGCTCAGTGGGGTAGCAGGCTTC